TAATCCTTCCTATCTGTGAACGTGGTATATCTTTCCATTTGTTTTTTCAGTTTCTTTGATCAGAGTCTTGTGGTTTTCAGTATATAAATCTTTCATCTCCTTGGTTAAATTTATTCTTATGTATTTTATTATTCTTTTTTTTTTTTTTTTTTTAAAGTATCTGTATCTTTTTTTTTTTTATAATAGTTTTTTTTTTTTCAACGTTTATTTATTTTTTGGGACAGAGAGAGACAGAGCATGAGCGAGGGGAGGGCAGAGAGAGGGGAGACACGGAATCTGAAGCAGGCTCCTTCTGAGCCATCCAGTAGAGAGGAAGCCCGGCCATTTCGAACTCCGCAGACGCTTGAATCGTGACCTGGCTAGTCGGGGCAACAACAACTCGCCATAAGCCTATGTATTCGTATTATTCTTGATGGTATTTTAACATTTATTTATTTTTGAGGGACAGAGCATGAGCAGGGGGAGAGAGAGAGAGAGAGACACAGGATCCCAAGCAGGCTCCAGGCTCTGAGCTGTTTGTTAGCACAGAGCCAGACACGGGGCTCGAACTCACGAACTGCGAGGGTATGACCTGAGCTGAAGTCGGAGGCTCAACTGACTGAGCCACCCAGGCGCCCCTTCTTGATGGTATTTTAAAGGGGATTATTTTATTTGTTTTTTAGTTATTAAATTGTTGTCATCGTGTAGAAATGCAACTGATCTGTGTGTTGGTTTTGTATTCTGCAACTTCACTGAATTCATTAATTAGTTCTAAAGGTTTTTTTAGTGGAGTCTTTAAGATTTTCTATGTATAAGATTATTTTATGTGCAAAAACAATTTTGCATCTTTCTTTCCGATTTGGATGCCTGTTATTTTTTATATTTTTCTTACTTGATTGCTTTGATAAGGACTTCCAGTAGTATGTCAAAAGGAGTGGTAAGTGGGCACCCTTGTTCCTGATTGTGAAGGAAAAACTTTCAGCCTTTTCATCACTGAATATGATGTCAGATGTGGGCTTATCGTATATAGCCTTTATTATGTTGAAGTATGATCCTCCTATATCCAGTTTGTTGAGCATTTTTATCATGAGAGAATGTTTTGTTTTTGTCAAAAGCTTTTTCTGCATCTGTTGATGATCATCTGATTTTAATCTGGCATTTGTGTCAGAATAATGCTGCCCTGGTAAAAATGGAAACTAACATTTATTGAACCTATTAAACATACTCTTTCAGTTAATCTTCTCTATGTTGGATAGATGTTAGATACGCATTTGTGTTTTGTGTTCTTCATATGTAAAAAGCAGAAGCTAGGTTCTATCTTATAGAAGTGCCTTTAGGATTAAATATGAATACATGCAAATAACCTGTAATCCCACCTTGAACATAGTATAAATGCTCAATCCTTGTTAGCAATTATCATTAATATTGTTACTGTTTTTTTATTTTTTGTTGTAATATTTGGGAAGTAAGGCTCAGTAACTCTCTTTAATTGTGACATTAAGTTATAGAACTATAGTGTGAACTAACTACAAACCCTTTTACTCTATTCCCACTCATCTTCCCATGATGCTCTCTAGCAAGGTGAATGATTGGTTCAGGGGTAGCAACACTAGCCTTCTGCCATCCAGTCCAATCCTTTCTGGGCTTCTGACACAATTATGTGTTACCTTCCTCAAAGCAAGGTGTTGTACTTCCTTCTCCCCCTATACATTAAAGATATTTTCATTATTTTTTGTAATTCACTAGCAGTTGGAACATGAGGATCTAAAATAAAATAAGAATGTTCCAAAATAGATTGCAGGGGGGCTGTTTAGGTTTTTCCTTTTTAAAATTTACTCTGATCTTTTAGTGTTGTATCTGGAAAGTAACTTGATTCTCCAATCCTTCTTTGTTACGGATTAACAGCGTGTCACTGTGACTGGTCGTTGAATGTGTTTCTTTGTTAAGAGAACTTCTTTTTGTGTGGTTCTAAGAAAATCATTCTGTATTCATGAGTAGGAAAACTCAGTTACCCTTTTTGCATCTCAGCTTTGGATTTGAATACTAGCTTTATTGCTCATTTCCTAATAGCAGTTCCTATGTGCATTAATCAAGCATTTTTAAGGTATATACAATGTACTCAACCCAAGATCAGCATTTACCAAAGTATGTGTTTTATGAAGGTAAAATGTAGTCATTATAGTATAGGAAATTTTGGGTTGAATAAAGTTTTAAATATTTCTTTATTGACTAATCTTCACAAGTTTTTTTTATGTGCATTATAAATCTCCCATCAGGATAATATATTATATGGCCTTTTATAAAACTTAACACACTAGCTCTCCCCCCCCCCCCCCCCGCCTTATTTTTTTAAGAATATACTTTGAGAACTCCATTTGACTACAGACACTTTGGAATGATAGGTTGATTTTCAACTCAACTGGGAATTCAGGACAAATGACATGACTAAGCAGCAGATACACAGTTAGAATGTATTGAGCAGAGAACCTCCAGAAAATCAGTAAACGTGGGTTGTGAATGATGTACAAGGCCCTGTAAAACAGTTGTTCTCAGGCTTCTTGGTTGTAGGATCCTTAATACATTCTTAGAAATTAAAGGCCAGAGAGGTTTGGGGTTATACCTATTGGTAGTTACTGCATTAGAAATTAAAAAAAATATTTTACAGTATGTATTAATTCATTTTAATGTAATTTGTTTCATGTAAACATAAGGAACTTTAAAAAATAACTTTTCTACAAGAAAAGATTATGATGAGAATGACATTGCTTTGTGTTTTTCAAATTTTAATGTCTGGTTTAAAATAGAGTTGAATTCTCATATCTGCATTTTTTTTTCTTTAAACATTTATTTATTTTGAGAGAGAGAGCACGCGCAAGGATGGGAGGGGCAGAAAAAGAATCCCAGTATGCTTGCGCTGTCAGCATAGGAGCCAGATGCAGGGCTCGAACCCACAAACCATAAGATCATGACCTGAACCGAAACCAAGACTTGGATGCTTAACCTCCTAGACATCCCCTTATATCTGCTTCTGTATTCAATCTCGGTGCTTGATTGAATGTTTGATTGAATTGCATCAAGCATCCTTTGGAAAGGTCCATTGTACTCATGAGAGAATTAAGAGTATAAAGGCAAATGAAACCTTAAATCACTATGAAAATAACTTTGACTTGGCTGATCCCATCAAGAGAGGTTGTAAGTTATTCAGAGTCTCCAGTCCATACTTGTAGAATTGCTGGTGTAGTAAATACAAATGTTAACTAGATTACTTCCTAAGAGCTTGTCCTTTGAATTTGGATTGCATAGATTGGAATTTTGGCTGCACTTCTTGACATTAACATCCCGTTTCCTAATTCGTTAAGTGGAGTTACTAATAGAACCTACCTTGTAAGATGGTTAGAATTAAATAAACTTAGACCTGTAAAATGGTATAATAAGTACCATGAAATAAATAAATGAAATGTTGCTGTTCATTATTATTTCAAAATTTTAGTCCTGTTACGACACTTTTGTTCACAATTTTCCATTGTCTTGCCAACTCGTTTGAGGTAAAAGCCAAAGCCTTTACTGTGGCTTACAAAGTTGTTTTTTTGGGGGGGATCTGATTTTGTTGTTACCTCTCACTGTGCTCATATACTTGTTTTGACCTCACATCCCCTCTTCACTGTCTTGTTCATCAAACACCAATCATATCCTTTCTTAGGTCCTTTGTATGGGATTTTTTCTCCATTTAACGTTTATTTCTTCAGATACTGGCATGTTTTGCCCTCCCCCTTCTTTGGGTTTTTATTTTAATGTCACCTCAGCAAAATCTTTGTTTCATTTAACGCTTCCATGTATGTATATAGGTACACACTGCTTTATTTTTCTGTAGGATTTTCCTTCCTTCCTTCCTCCCTCCCTCCCTCCCTCCCTCCCTCCCTCCCTCCCTCCCTCCCTCCCTCCCTTCCTTCCTTCCTTCCTTCCTTCCTTCCTATTTGAGAGAGAGTGTGAGTGCAGAAAAGGGAGAGAATGAATCCCAAGCAGAGCCTGACCCAGGGCTCGATCCCACAACTCTGGGATCCTACCCTGAGCTAAAATCAAGAGTTAGACGCTCAACCAACTGAACTGCCTAGCTGCCTCAAGGAGTTTCTGTTTTCTAATGTACTAGGTATTACTTATTTGTCTCTTTTCTACTAGAATTTAAGCTCCATTAGAGATAGATGGGGTTTTGTTTATTTTTTTATTTTTTGTTTTTTATTTTGGTCTTACTTTTCATTACTGTGTCTTCAATACATACCTATAATGATGCTAGGTGTGTATTTAGGCACTGAAAAAATATTTTTTTTTGAGTGAATCATTATCATTACTGCAAAGAGGAAAGAATGGTTTCCACTTCTCAGAAACGTGTGGTTTCAATAGGACAGTGCCTCTGAAATAAAATGAACATGTAAAGCAGTTAGTTTGGCATTTTGGACATGTAGAAGTACTCATTAGTTGGTAGCTGTTATTGAAGGATAAGCAAAGAAAGAACAGAATTAGACATTTAAGTTAGAAATTACCTGAGTAAAAGAAAACTGCATTTGCATCTCAGGATCTAGGGTAGATACTGTTTAGGGACATATTGAAAAATATAGGTTGGAACTATTTTGTGGAGCTTCTTGGATTATTCTGTAGGTAATGAGTTATTGCATAATTCTAAGGCAGATGTGCTGTGATGAAAGTGGTAGATTTGGAAGATGAATCCAATAGTAGTCCTTGAGGTTGATTGGAGACCCTTTTGGTATAAGCTTAACTGGAAATTAAAACATTAGCAAATTTATAAAAAATAAAACTTTTACAAAATCATAAATTATGCTCAATTATTAATGACCTGAAATTGTACAGTAGTATAAAATGATCATTTGATTACAAGTTGCGTATCTTGAACTATTTATGCAATTGCTAACTTTTAATATATCTTTTCATTTACAACCAAGAGCTTTGATTTAAAATAAACCAAGATGTTTATATTGGTAACTAACTTACTAAATATACTAATATAGGGCAAAGTATGTTTAGTCCAGCAAACATTGGTCAGCCACGAAAGACAACATTATCTCCTGCACAGTTGGATCCTTTTTATACTCAAGGAGATTCTCTGACTTCTGAAGATCACCTCGATGACACTTGGGTAACTGTGTTCGGGTAAGGTTTCTGAATCATTTACCTTTCCAAAAAAACTAAACACCAAACACTCCTTAACATTTCATAATAAATATTATCAAATGTTCCCCCCCCAAAAAAATATTGCACAGCAAACACGCATGTACCCACCACCTACCTTCTACAGTTGTTAATGTTTTACTTCATTTGTTTTATGTTCCATTAATTCATCTTTCTTTGTTGGTACATTTCAGAATAAGTTGCACACATTAGTACAAATCATGCTGACACTTCAGCATGCTATTATTAATTAGTGTTCAGTATTTGTTGATACTTTAAATTTTTTTTTTTTCAACGTTTTTTATTTATTTTTGGGACAGAGAGAGACAGAGCATGAATGGGGTAGGGGCAGAGAGAGAGGGAGACACAGAATCGGAAACAGGCTCCAGGCTCCGAGCCATCAGCCCAGAGCCCGACGCGGGGCTCGAACTCACGGACCGCGAGATCGTGACCTGGCTGAAGTCGGACGCTTAACCGACTGCGCCACCCAGGCGCCCCTGTTGATACTTTAAAAAAAATTATCTGCTTCTCAGATGTATTTTCTTTAGTGTATTTGCTGGATAACGGAACAGAAATCCTTCTTTAGACTTACGAAGCTCCCTTCTTTCTAGTGGTTATTCTCCCTCAATTGGACTTAACCAGTTTGGAACTAACAAATTGAATTTCATTTGTGTATAGATGTGTGTGTGTGTGTGTGTGTCTGTGTGTGTGTGTGTGTATGCATATATGTCACAAGGTTGGTACTTTATAGTCACAGGATATTGGATATTAGTAGACATTATACATGATATTCCTGGATACATTTTGAATAGATTTTTAGATCCAAAAAAGTACTTTAAAGCATTTTGGAGATCATATTGCATCATTTCCATATGAGAAAACTGAGGTGTTAGACTAAGTGATTTATTCAGGGGTTTACATATAGTTATTAGTAAAGTGTCAGCAAAAAACCTTAGGTCTTTTGATTTTTAAGTTGTTACTGTTCATGCCATGCTACATAAGGTTTGCTTCTGAAAGTGTGATAGGTCCTACTGATATTGGACCTTACTATATTTAGTTTTGGGGTAAAAAATATAACAATAACACTTGAGCTTCTTGAAGAAAGAACAATGCACAGTAAATGTTAGTGCATTTGAATAGACTATGTATATTCAGTTTATTTAAAATTTAAAAATTCAAAAGTAAATGTATAAGAATATACAATGAAAAGTTTTCCTTTCCATTTGTGTCCCCAACTACAGTTTTTCTCCCCTTTAAGGCAGTAATTGCCACCTATTTTTTGTGTAACCTTCCAGAGAGAGTCTGTGTGTTATTGATTCTGTTTAGGTAAAAAAGCAAGATCATTGCTTTCCTTTATTCCCAGAAAGCCCATGCATAGCTCATAGCAATTGGATGGCTTCTTGACCTTTTTCTTTTTTTGTGTGTGTTTAAATTTTCATACTCTCTCACAACATGGCTATGTTTTTGAATTTGGGTGTCCCATCCCAAGTCTGTCAGGCTCAGTAATGTGTCACTTTCAAGATTCCGTAGTAATTGGATAAATTACTTGAATATCTTCTGCTAGTCTTTTTCTTCATTTTTAAGATACACACTTTTCCACCTATTAACTTTCTGTTGGTTTTATGTTTTAGTAACCCTCTGTATGAGTTTGATTGCGAGAACTGAAATGTTTTCTTCTAAGAGATAAAATATTTTATTTTGACTGTTTATAGGATAGTACATCTAAAATATATATGTTCTTTGATAATTTAACTTTTTCCTACTGACTCAAGGTCATCATTATATATCATTCGTTGTTTTGGGGTGGTTCTTTTATAGGGTATTGAAATGTTTCCACTCAAAGTGGTCGTAGAGTCTTAGAATTACATTTTATTTTTCAAGTACCTCCCCTCTCTTGGAACCATTATTTCTCTTTCATTTTTATTTTCTTCAGCTCTTCTTTGTAGGCACTTTGCCTCATTTGTTGCTTTTCTTTGAGGTTAGAAATTTTATATCCAAACATACATAACATAAAATAAAATTTCAGTCCTGAATGCAAGCTCTCGATAACTAAAGCTACTGGTTAAGGAAACTCCAGATTTTCAACTTAAAATAGCTTCATTGTTTGGACTATAAAAGTAATAATACCTCATAAAATATTTTTAAACCATAAGGAACTTTATAAAGAAGAAAAGAAAAATCACTTAAAAATTTTCAGAGATATATGGCTATTAAAATCTTGGTAACCACCCTTTTAAATGTTTCTATACTAATGATGCTGGTATTGATTTTCATTTTTGATTTAGAACTAAACTTCTGAATTTTCAGTTGGTACTCCGTGTGTAAATAATATGACCATATAATTTAAAATTCTTTTCCTTTTAATAGCTGTAGTATACCTAAGTATTTCACACACACACATAGACACACGCATATATGCCCTCGTAGAATAAATTATATACATAGCTGTGACATGATAATTCTTTTCTAAGAGTGAGAGTGGAATTTTAGAGAATGGCAGTGAGAGTGGAATTTTAGAGATTTCATATGTGGAATCTGGGGATGGGGAAGAATGACTGAGTCAAAACTAATTTTAACATATTTGCTTTCGAGTAATGGGCAATGATATATTTAGCTGATACAGAGGAAAACAGAATGATCAGGGATCTCCTATTAATATTCTAGTCCATTGGGGGAAACTTATCTTGAAATACTTATACGTAGGGTAATTTGCATTTGTATTTATTATGGAAGTTGACTGTTTGGACAACTCTTTTTTCAGGTTTCCTCAAGCATCTGCTTCCTATATATTATTACAATTTGCACAGTACGGGAATATCTTAAAACATGTGGTAAGGCTTACTTCTTTTCAGTTCAAGATTTAGTGTGAAGAAAGAGAAGCTGTGAATTGAGGGAGACTTTGCTCCTGAATATTGTCTGCTTTTTTCCAAACTTAAAAGTTTTTCTTTCTTTTTTTAAGTTTTCATTGAATATGTCTGTTAGAGTCTAGAAGGCTAGAGGTTGCATAGTAGTTAATAAAAGGGATAAAGAGAGAAGATAAGAGAGCGAGAATTTCATGCTCCCCCCCTTTCCTTAAATGCTTCATAGTCTCTTAACAAAAATTACACCAAATATTATATAACTGTCTTCCAGTATCTGCTTGTTTTATTGGAGATGAAAGAAAAGAGAAGTTCCTTATTTACAGAGTTCATAGGGCTTTTTTTTAGCTTGTAGAGAGCTTTTTAAAAACAAGTATCTTACCTTGTCTTACCTATAGCAAGTTATAAATAACAAATCTTTTTTCTGTTATCAGGGATTGACTTAATTCCTACAGAAATAATATTGATGAATACAGGTTTTAACAATTTCATAGCAAGGGTTAGTAAGATCTTTTTATAAGAAACCATTATCTTTTGAGAATTACTTTCAGAGAATTTTTGCCACGTATTCTTTATATTGGAGAATTGAGAGGTAGAAATTATTGAAACTGTTTAATAGGATTTTTGTTGAATCCTAGCATTCAGTTTGTTATGGGGCATCAAATAAAAAGTAGAAGCATATATATCTTCTTATCTTTGTATTTTCTAATAAAATTCATGGTTAGGTTTTATATATTTTATGTTTTAAGGGACAACTTCATTCTTTGCAGATGTCTAACACAGGAAATTGGATGCATATTCGTTATCAATCTAAACTGCAGGCTCGGAAAGCCTTAAGCAAAGATGGGAGGATTTTTGGAGAGTCCATCATGATTGGTGTAAAACCATGTATAGATAAAGTAAGTTATTGCTGATGTAAGGAAAATGGCTTCATCTGTATGAAGAGTACAAGTCTAAGTATAGACATTGGCAGTTATGTCACTTTGCTTCACTGTGCCCCTTTTTCTTCGTAAAATATGATGATGTTATAGTATTGTTTTCATGGGAAGCCAGATTTTTAGTCATGGGACTTTAGAATTTAGAGGTAATCCATCCTGACTCCTTCATTTTATAGATAAAGAGGCCAATGGGACTTGGGTAACTTATCTAGAGTTGTTAAAGGTAAGATCTAGATTTTAGGTCTCCTAACTTCTAGCTCATTCTCCTGTGCAAAAGCAACATAAAAATCTTTAAATACTTCAAAGGAATGCTGCTCTTTCAAAATGAAATACTTCACATGAATGGTAACAGGGTTAACTATTTAATGGCTGAAACTTTTTAGTCATTTTATTTTAAAATGTTTAAAAACTATTATATGCCTATAAATAATACTGAGAACAATTTATACTTCATGGCTTGTAAAATCATCATAATTGTTCTTTAGTAATTATACATGAACTTCTGTCTACCAGGCACTGTGCTCATATATACACATTAATGCGCAAAGCAGGTCTGGCTCCTGTTCTTACAATCTGTGGTTACTTTAGAGTTCTGTAATTATTATATTATGCTGTAACAGATGTTTGTAGAGGCCAGAGGAGAATCTGGGGTTCCTGGCTACTGAGTAGCACTGGAATTTCATGCCCTACTTCCCCCAGGATTTCCCCAAGAATCTTCTTTTTTCTCCCTTGAGGGTTTTTCATAGTATTTTTTAGGAGATTTTTACTCTTGTGAGTCTCTAGTCATCTTGAGGATGTTTGAGATCACTGAAGTGAGCTTTCTGGTTGAGCATTAGATCTCAAATACTAGCTAAGAAGCATGTATTGCTTTATCAAGCCTAAAATTGTTTGAAAGTTTAATTAGATCAAATAAAGTGTGCCTCTTTCAATAATTTTTTTTTTTTTTAAGTAGGGTGTAATAGTGGATAATAGCATATTATGTTTATAAACAGAGAAGTTCTTTACCTTTCTTTCTCCAGAGTGTTATGGAAAACCATGACAGGTGTGCTTTGTCATCTCCACCTCTAGCCTTTACACCACCAATCAAAACTGTAGGCACACCAACCCAGCCTGGAAGTGCTCCTAGGATTTCTACCATGAGACCTCTTGCTACAGCATACAAAGCTTCTACTAGTGACTATCAGGTATTTTAAGAATTAGATAAAGATAAACTTGAAAAAGTGAAATGCATAGCATGTTTAACCATTGGATTGTGTGCCATTAAATATTTCTTATGTGATTGCCTTGATGAAATCCCTATAAATTTGCATTCTTAAATTCCTTATTTTAAAAATTATAGTTTTGGCCAATTGAAAACTTACCTTGAATTTAAAAAAAATTTTGCCATTATTTAAAACATTTTGAGAGTTTTAGTTTTTTCTAAGTTATACTTGCATACATTAAAGTTTCTCTTATGAACATCTCTGGTGTGAGGGAATATTAAAAAACTTGTTGAACTGATGACTAAATCTGATGGTCTCACAAATGAAGAACCTCACTCATGTTGGAGTAGCTGTGGTTATCAAAGAGACCATTGACCAGCTCCCATTTCACTGTTTCTCGTTTCAAAAAAGTTTAAAGGGAAAGTTCATTATATTCATTGAAGAATGATAGAAGTATTATGACTCTCATTCAGTATGTTACTGTCTCCTACTTAATTAATCAGGTTCTGAATTTGCCTAGTCACAGACCTGAAACAGCAAATAAAACATTTTTAATTTAGTAAGATAGAGAGTGACAATTTAGTCTTTTGATTTCCCCTGAAATTTGGAGACTAGGACTGGATTTTTCATTAAGGTTTTCTTTTAAACCAGTCCTGTCTCTTTTATAGTAGGCTCCATGCCTGGTGTGGGGCTTCAACTCATGTCCCTGAGATCAAGAGTCAGATGCTCTGCCGACTGAGCTAGCCAGGCACCCCTAAGGATTTTAAAACCCTCATCTCTTGTAGCTTTTGTATTGTTTGTTCAGTTTTCTGATATAAGGAGAAGATAGAATTTGTCTTGCCAAAGGAATAGGATTTTGTGCTTTAAAGCATAAAGTTGTTCTAACTAAATCCCTGTCTTCTTCTTTAAATATACAATTCGGTACCACAAATGCATTTAACTGTTTGGCTCTTTTAAATTAGCCATTAACTCTAGAATTGACATGATACTTAAGAAACTATAGCCTAACAATTGTGTGTGCTTTTTTAATAGGTTATTTCTGACAGACAGACGCCAAAAAAAGATGAAAGTCTTGTATCCAAAGCAATGGAGTACATGTTCGGCTGGTAGTATAGTGAGAACTAAGAATCACCTACCACGGAGGAGGCTGCTACACTAAAACAGAGTTAGCCCAGTACTGCCAGCTTGCCTTTGGTTAGTTATATAACCACTCTTGGCAGTGCTGAATCGCTCTCTCTCACTTTCTTAGAATCCTTTTTTCTTTAAGGATACAGCATATTTGTAGCTTGCACTTTAAAAGATGATTGAGATACGTTTTAAAGAAAACAAAAAATCCCTGTAAATAGGATTTTGTGCTTTCTGTGTTAGTGCATGCTTTAAGCACAAAAAACTCAGCATTGATTACTGTAAATTGTATAATTGAATTTGTGGTGAGGTTTTGTAGTCTTCATGAGTTGGTGGGGTGAATTTCATGAAGGGTAAACTATACAACTCCTAACAATACACAGAGATTATAACCAACCAATTTGAATTATGGATTTTTAATTTAGATAGTATTTAATATTTTAATTATCCTTGTTTATATATGTCCTGTCATGGATTGTCATCTTTCAGTATTCTAAAGTCAAAAGTCTTTTTAAAAACCTACTAAAGTTTTGTGATAATAAACTTTGACAATTCTATATATTAAACATTTTTTGAAAGTGACTTGTTATTTTATTAACTATTTAAAAAAATTTGAAGTGTCTGCTGAAATAGAGAAAATACATCATGAATCTCCACATACTGTAATCTAGCTTTAATAACCATATAACCATAAATATTTTGCCATAGTGGTTTCTTCTCTCTCCCTTGTGTTTAAAGCATATCTCAGATGTGATGTCATTTTAATCTAAGTACTTGAGGATATATCAAAAAAAGAACATTCCCACTTGTAATGACAGTATCAGTATCATAACTAACAATTAGTAAGTTTCTTAATATCTAATATATAGCCCATTAAAAAATTTCCCAGTTACCTCCAAAATATATTTATGGTTGGTTAGTACAAATCACTATCTAGAGTAGGTGTACATGATATATTTGATTATTTTGTCTTTTAAGTATCTTGAAATCTAAATTAGCTCCTGCTCTCTTTACACCGTGACTTCTTGAAGGAATTGTGAGAGTTGCCTACAGTGTCTCATAGACTGAATGTGGTCAGTTGCTTTTTTTGTTTAACTTGTTCTGTCATTTATCCCATATCCTAAAAGTTGGATCTAGGGAAGATTAATTAGATTCTGATTTCTTTTTTTTCTTTTTTGAGCAACAATACTTGATAGTATGGTGCACTTTATATTTAATCAAGAGACATTTAATTTGGTTGTCCCACTTTTACTGAGGCTCAAATTGGTCATTGGGCACATGGGTAGAAGCCCAGCACCTTGTTGGAAAATTCCTCATAACGTTCTTGCATTATGTTTTTGAAAGCATACATTAGTGATATTTGCCTGAATAAGTTATTTCATTAAGGTTTGCAAAATGATTTTCCAAGTCTATTATTTCTGTTGCATGTATTACCTGGAATTCTTTTATATATAAAAACTTTGCTCCACCCACTAGGGCTATTTTGTTACATGGAATATATTCATACCAAAATGGCAGGATAAATATTTGATCCTTTTCCTTTGTTATTTTTCAGAGTAACTGTTGGCGCACTGGAAACTCTAATTGGTGTCCAGTGAGTTAAAAAAAAAAATGTTTTTCTCTGCAGTATCACTATGCACTTAGAGCGTTTTTTTGTTTTTTTGTTTTAAATTCATTGTGTTAGTCACTTGGTGTCATTAGTCTTTTGTTCAAATTATCACCCTTGGCCAGTGAGAACCTCATTAAGCTGGCTCTTGAGTGAAAAGGCCTTTAATTGAAATAATATTTCACCGTAGTATAGGTATCTAGGTAATCAGCATCTCTTTATCTTCAATACTTCTTGATAAAGAATAACTAAAATAACACATTGTATGGAAAGTATTGATATGCCTTTTAAATCACAGCAAACTACCATTAAAGATTTGTTTAGTTCTCTGAGGTGAAGTGTGATACTAAGGACTGTACTGGCCTGGTGAAAATCCATTTATCGTTATAGAGAATTTTTATTCTGATACTTACATATTGAAGTCTTTCTATTCCAGCTTAAAATAGGATTTTATTTTATATCTTCTAACATACAGAACTCACTTATTCAAAGTAGAACTGTGGCTACTAGATCCCATTAAACCCTAGCATTTGTATTTGAGTTTTATACATTTTTGTAAAAGGATTATACTTTTTGTTTCTTTTGAGAGGTCATGTTATTTCTGTAGACCTTCGTGGAGCATGAAGTTTGCTTTCTGACTAAAAGTACTTGTTTGCTATGTTTGGGTTTGTGTTTTTATCCAGTGTTTTATCTTACTTGTCTTTATCTCCATCACATCATTTACTTAAAAAGAGCCAGGAAACCTATAAATCTATCAGACCAACACATCTATGACATAAACTTACACAATGTTACATGCCAATTATATCTCATTTTAAAAAGTATATAAAATAATAAAACAAAAAACAAACTGAACAGAAAACAGCTAGGAAAATCTAAGAAAGCAAACTCCCATATTTTTCAATGCTACAAAACACAACAGAATTGGGAACTGAGAAAGCTAAAAAAGTTACCCTGAACCAAGCCTTTTCCTAAAAGTTCAGAAAAGCTGATTTCACACAAAAATAAGTAACAAAAAACTATAGTCATGCAAAGTTGTTATACAAAATAAGAGGATAAGGAACAAAGTATCATATAGACATTGGAAGCACACCAGAAAGGCAAGCCCATAATAGATCAAAACTATGACCTGGTTATTTAAAAATGACTTCTAAGATGTTTTGGGGTACCTGAGTGGCTCAGTTGGTTAAGTGTCCGACGTCAGCTCAGTTCATGATCTCGCGGTCTGAGAATTCAAGCCCCGCGTTGGGCTCTGTGCTGACAGCTCAGAGCCTGGAGCCTGCTTTAGATTCTGTGTCTCCCTCTCTGCCCTCCCCTGCTCACGCTGTCTCTCTCTCTTACTCTCTCTCTCAAAAATGAATAAATGTCAAAAAAAATTTTTAAATGACTTCTATCATTTGAAAGT